GGCTGCTGCGGCTGCTGTTGCGCGAGTCCCTTGACGGCGTCTGTGAGTGCCATGAGGAGCTGCTGGAACTGCTTGTCCGTCATCGTCGCCATTGGAGCTGGAATCCTGATCGCCACTGTTGAGTCGTTGGAAGGTAGAGGGCAGTAGAATAGGCAGGAATATTTATTAGGAATAGAACACATAACTAACAGAAAACGTTGGGTTATAGTCACTTGAGATCATTAATTAGGCGCGAAAAGTAGTACCTAATACGGTAGGTAACGATCAAAAGTAATGGTCATGGTGGGTCAGTAGATCATTCCGATATCTAACAGTAATGAAGAAGCTGCAAAATATGACAAAGAGTACGTACGGTGGTCTGATAGATAAAAAGTAGAAGTAAACAAAACTATCAAAACAGTGTGCTGAAAGGGCACTACACAATAGCAGACATTTGGTAGTACGGTATAAAGATTATAAAGATTCTTAGCAGATTTGGGCAGGCCATAAGTACCAGATACCGTTCCCCATTAGCTATAATCGCAAACTATTCAAGGGGAGGCGTGCGATTCTAACGTGAGCCAGCCGTCGCACCGCTGATGTCGCGCGCGGCGAGTCACGATTGGTGCGGCAGCTTAAGAGTTGCATTACCATATCCATGGGTTGTCGTTGTGTAGTAATTGTAGGAATCAGAAACCCAGTACAGCTTCAAAATAATGGCTCTGAATGGAAAATCGGGAATTTCTTTTTATGCTTTTTTCCAGCTCCTAACAGCATTCAGTTTTATTAATTTGGCACTATTTCAGCACGGCGAAAGCGAATACAACCAGCTCGGTCGACTCGGTGGTGACAGCCCTCTGAGTGAGAACGGAAAACGATATGCGGAAAAGTTGAGAGATTTCTTTGAGGTAAGACTAAACTATGATGCAGCATAAGCGAACTCTCAGCGTGACTCAAAGAGATTGTCGGAAGAAGTTCAGCCCTCCTGTTCATTTTAATCTTTCTAGCCGCAGTCTACGCTGACCACATGGGCGGGGTTTGAATGTTCGTTGTATCTTCCCCATTGGTGCGCTCCTTTTTTGCACCATAGAGGAAGGAGAG